AAAAAAAAAGAGTCTCACGGAGTTTCTTGCCCCGGCTGGCTTTGAACTGTGATCCTCAGATCTCAGCCTCCTGTGTAGTTAGGATTGTAGGCATGAGCCGCCGGCGCACAGCTCACCCTTCTAAGCTTCTAAGTAGCTAGAATTACAGGGGTAAAATAGATTAATGGTACAAGACACATGCCAGGCAAGAAATAAATGCTCAGACACATGCCAGGCAAGAAATAAATCCTATCTCAAAATAGTGCAGAACAGGACTAGAAATGTGGCTCGCTGGTAGAACACCTACCTAGCAAACTGCCAGGTCCTAAATTCAAACCCATATTCAACTCCAAGAATAATTATTTTAACCAAAAAGTCACATAGAAAACCGTTAATAATGGGGCTGGGAAGGTGGCTCAGTGGTAGAGGGGTTTATTGTGACTACATTTATCACTGGCACCCAAGTCCCTGTAATGATTAAGATCAGGACATCACTGAAGGTGCAGACACCTGTAGGACCGACCCTTGTTGTGTTTAAAATGAAACCTTCTGGACTGGAAATGTGGCTTAGAGGTAGATCGCTTGCCTAGCATGCAGGAACCCTGGGTTCAATTCCTCAGCACCACATACACAGAAAAAGCCAGAAGTGGCGCCGTGGCTCAAGTGGTAGAGTGCTAGCCTTGAACACAGAGAGGCTCAAGGACAGTGCACAGGTCCTGAGTTCAAGCCCCAAGACTGGCAAAAATAAATACATAAATGAAATGAAACCTTCTGTCTCTCTTTGTATTTCAGTGCCAGCTCACAATGCACAGGGACAGAGCTTTGCAAGTATGTTCTTCAATGCTATTCCCACTGTAAAACAATGAAACAGGACACAGAGGAAAAAAAGGTAATTTTATTTTCTTTTTCCTATTGTTTTAGCCACGTAATCATTGAGATAATAATCCATATCACAAAAGGTATTTTTCACCAGTAGTTTTTCCTGTGTACAGAGTTACATAGCCATCACCACTCTGTAAACCAGAGAAGTTCCCTACCCAGCCTCCCAGCCACTAACAGCCACAAGGTGACTTTTTGTTTTTATGGATTCCCTTTCCCATCTGTGTGTGTGTCTGTGTGTGTGTGCGTAAGTGTGCTCACTCTTAGGGCTTTTACTCTGGCTTAGTTTTTTCCACTTAAAGCTGGCACTCTACCACTTGTACCACACTTCTTCCTGCATTTTGCTGGTTATTTGAGTTTGCTTGTCCTGGGGTAGGCTCAAACCGTGATCCTTACATCTCAGCCTCCTGAGTAGTTAGAATTACAGGCGTGAGCCACTTGGCTCAGCTGACTTGCCTATTCTTGGCATTTCACATATAGAAAGAGGTATGAATGCAATCTTTGATGACTGGCTTCTTTCATCAGTGTTATAATTGCTGCAAGATTTGTATGTGTGGTAGGTAGCAGGTATCAGTCTCTCATTCCTTTTCCTATGAAATAGATCCATTGTGCCACTACACTGTGCTGTGCCTGTCTATTAGCTGATAGACACAGGTTATTCCCACATTTGGGCTGTAATGAACAATGCTGCTATGCTCACTCGTATGCAGGTTTTTGTGAAGACAAATGTTTTCCTTCTTTTTTTTTGATCAGTCATGGGGCCTAAACTCTGGACCTGGGCGCTGTCCCTCAGCTCTTCAGCTCAAGGATAGCGCTCTACCACTTGAGCCACAGCGCCACTTCTGGCTTTTTCTGCTTATGTGGTACTGAAGAATCAAACCCAGGACCTCATGCATGTGAGGCAAGCACTCTACCACTGAGCCACCTTCCTAGTCCAAATGTTTTCATTTCTCTTGGGTATATACCACAATGTAGAATTTTCTGGGCCATCTGGTAACTTCTATCATGTGTATGTTGTCCAAATTCTTCACAATGAACACATAATATTTCTATAGGCCTTGTATGGAATGCATTCTACCATCCCCTTATTCCTCCTAATTCTTTTATTATCATGATGATTTGTGGTACTGGGTTTGCACTTAGGGCCTTCTGCTCTCTAGGATAGTGCTCTACCACTTGAACGACTGTACCAGCCAGTCCCTTTTTGCCTTGGTTACTTTTGTTTTTGTTTGCTGGGGTTGGAACTCAGAGGATCACCATGGCCCTCAATATATTCCCAGCCCTGGCTTGGTTATGTTTGAGTTATGCGTAGGTCAGCCTGAGGTTTAATCCTACTTGTAGCTAGGATTACAGGTGTGACCACCTGCACTGGGCAGTGAATGGATATTGAAGACCTCATTTATGTGAGATCAAGTGTGTGCATAAAGCAGGACTCTGGGGGCTGGGAAGGTGGCTCAGTGGAAGAGTGTTTGCCTTGCATGCATGAGGCTCTGGGTTCAATTCTTCCTCAGCACCACATAAGCAGAAAAAGCTGGAAGTGGCGCTAGGGCTTAAGTGGTAGAGCACTAGCCTTGAGCTGAAGAGCTGAGGGACAGCGCCCAGGCCCAGAGTTCAGGCCCCACAACTGACAAAACAGGACTCTGTGATGGGACTGAATTCTGAGTGCACCCTCACGCTGGGTTCTCAGGTTACCCGTGTGAATGGTGGCTTGAATCCCACTCTTTGCCAGATAACTTCAGGCACATTGCTGTCCCTCTGGAGGCCTCTGTTTCCCCATTAGTAATCTGGGGAGGGGCAAACAGTATATCTCCAGAATTTTCCTTGCATTCAAGGAGAAAATGACTTTTCTCCCCCCTTGCAGTTCTGGGGATCAAACTTGGGCCTTGAGGTCCACTTACTAGGCAAGTACTATCCTGAAGAACATCCTCTCTCAGCCGTTTGCTTTGCTGCCAGTGGCTCACGCCTGTAATCCTAGCTGCTCAGGAGGCTGAGATCTGAGGATCGA